ACCACAGGGCTGAACCTGGAAAAATTTTTGTGTTATTAGTCTGTAACTAATAACAAACTAAAACCCTATGGAATCCATCTCATCTTATTCTGAAGTTCGACTTTCCAAATGAGTTCTAAAAGATCCCATGTTATTAAACTGAAAGTCACACCTTCTAATTACTTCATATCCACGTATTCTCAAGGAATGCAAATACTATTTCTTGTTTCTGCAACTTAAATTCGAAAAGAGTATTTTTTTTTCAATTTTGAAATTTAGTTCTGGTAATTTTCTAAAACCATTTGAGTTAGCTGAAATACACGGTTTCCTAAGTTTATGAAAAATGCATATTTTTAGATGTAATCCGTATTTTTAGCTGATAAAAAGTTAAGATTAGCAACTCTTACAACTGAATATTATACTTTATTCGGTGACCATGCAATAAAAAAAGTATAGCTAAGCTGTGTTTATATGAGCATGTAACTGAACACACAGACTGGCAACTCGTTAATATTCTGACAAACACATAGCCAGTTTTACTCCACTTTGGGTACTACCTGACAATGTTTCCTGAACATACCATCGTATTACATGTCACTGAGAAGTTGTCTGAAAGGATCAACTTCTTACCACTCGGACCAGGTGGTTAATATGTCCATGGGTCCGCGGTTCGACACATCATACCACCAACTACGCTCCGCACATTCAGCTATAAAAGCGTTGGAAAGAAATTACAATCAAGCTAGTTATTCGATTCAAAGAGCCAGACAAAGTTCTTATGGCGGCGGATGCTGCTAGCTGGCTGCCTTCCCTATGGCCAGTATTTTAAAATTAGGGACGGTTACACCTAACCACGAGGGGTCTTTGGCTTGGCCTTATAGCCAAATCGCTCAGATTTAAAGTTCAGATTCTAATTTTATTAGCGACTATTACAATAGAAGACATGAAAATATTTTTAAAAAATCATGTTTTTGTTATTAAGCACACTTTCTGAGATTTCTTGTAAGAAGACAATGCAAGATAATTAAATGTTTCACTACGAAGTTAGCCTAGTACATAGTAATGTAAGAAAATAGTATGTTTCACTATATGTCAATGTACAACAATGTAATACATAACAGAAATATGTTCTACAATATGTGAACATGAAACAGTGAAATAAAAAATAATCCATAATGTCAACGCTATACAGAACTCGATCCATCTAAATGACCTTTGTTCTTAAAAATTAGTCTTGAAGGAATGAGCTACAGTGATAAATAAAATGTTATAAATAAATGTGATTGTTAAAACTTACACCAAGATAAATATAATGGCTATTTTTTAAACACTTTCAGAGTAGTGTATATATATATATATACATATAATGCTTGCTTCCGTAAGTTTAATGGTCAATTGTAATATGTTACAATTAACACTATGGCTGTTATAATAATGTAATACTATTACTTTAAATGTAAACCAGGGTTAATATAACGATTAGATGTGAGGTGTTTTTTTTTTTACCTTAGTAAACTATAATGTCTAGATACATATGTACACTAGGATAAATATAACGAATGGATTTATAATGTTACGTGATACATTTACTAAACTATTATATATATAAAACAGGATAAATATAACGGTTAGACTTAACAGTGTATTGTGTGTGTGATACACTTGATCAACTATAATATATAGATATACATAAACAGTGATAAAGTTGTTGTATTCTCAGTGCAAAGCTACACGATGGGCTATCTGCACTCTGTCCACCACGAAATAAAACCCCGTAAACTTACCGCTGACCTACCGAGGAACAACTAGGATAAATATAATGGTTAGTTGGATATTGGCTATGTGTTACACTTAAAAAAAAAACTATAAGTCTAGATTCATGTAAACTGGTGTAACCTTAAAAGTTAGATGTACAATGTTGTTTATAACACGTTGTAAACTCTAATATTTAGATTTATGTAACTTGGGGTAAATTTAAAAGTTAGATGTACAGTGTTGTGTACAACACTAAATTATAATTACTAATAATACTATGTTTTTTCATGTGCATTTGGTAATCATTAATAGTGCTTTATGAGGGTATAAAAATAACAAATGTATTAAGTTATTCTTTCCTTCTGGTTTGAGAATCGATTTAATTCAAGGAGAAAATTTAAATGAACGACTATCCAAACTCCATTGAATGATAAATCGACAATCACACACTTAAAAATTGTTCTTATAATTAGATAATCGTGATATAAGAATTCATTAACATCCTTGTTAAGAAAGAACAGCATATATGAAGTAACTTATTTCCAGTATCCAACGTACCTTTATACATTATAAACTCCTCATCCTATTTTTACTTAAACTACAGCATCTTTGGTTAGTTTGTATCTTCTTTCATATTCTATTGAGTGTGCATGGCATTTCCTATATTCTCTGCACTAGGGTTTACACATGCGAATGTTCTGTATTAGTTTTATTCTTCTACTGAGCATGCGTAACATATATAATATACAAGCTTGGGAAAAAATTATTGACAAAATCAAACTTGATTAATACATTGAATTCAAACATTTTTAATACAAGAAGTATTCTTGTAAATAAATTATATCTGAGACGTATCTTCTTATAGAGTTGAGCACATGTGAAAATCTCATGTCATGTAGAAATATTGTAAAGCCAACAACGCGTGGTCTATACACAAAAATCCAACATGTCAATCCTTCATTCAACTACAATGTTTGTAGGTAATAAAAAACCGAAAATGTCAAACTTTTAGAGAAATATTTTATTATTCTGAATTATCCGCCCTTTCATGTTGAATTGATAGGATTCGATTTTACTATAACCAACTTTGCTGCTTAAGATAAAATATTGTTCATATATCTCTAACTGCCAGAATTGCACTTGTCCAAATTAAAATATAATCATTAAGCATAATTATTTAAACAATATGCTAATAGTTCATAAAACATGATCAGACTGTTATATAAATCAATAAAAATTACATGTCTGTATTTACTAAAACACATTTTTTCTACAAAAACCTTCGTGCAAAATGTTTGGACTATTTAGAGTTTTTGTAAGTTTTATTTTATTGTTTATTTCATGTTAGTGTCATTAACAGTGCCGGTTAAAATATTTAATATACATATATATATTTTTTTTTTATTTTAGATTTTTATTACATCTTTATTATTATTAGCATTAGTTTCCATTAATGCTTGGAGACGGCTTGAATGGGTAATGAAGAAAAACTTTAATATAAGTTTAACATAACAAGGTTTTCTGAAAAACTGTGAGAACTACACAACATTCCTTCTGTATATTAAAGGAAAACTGGAGAGCTACACATTATCTCTTCTCTACCTTAAATGAAAACTGTAAGAGTTACACAATATATCTTCTCTACATTAAAGAAAAGTTGTGATAACTACAAACACACCTTCTATATATTATAGGAAAACTGTGAGAGCTACACAATATATCTTCTCTACCTTAAAGTTAAACTGT